TTGCAAATGGAGAGCGTGCTTATGAACCATGGCAGCAAGCAGTAAGAGAAGGAATTTTTTTAACTTAATATTTAATGTGGCATAAAAACGATGGAGAGAAATCAGGTGGTTCGCTAATCAGATGGTTAGCCAGCGGTCCATAACACAGGGGAGTCTGTGGATGAAGCAGTGCTGAGAACGGTCATCAACAATTCCTTTCGCCATAACTTAGACCTATTTTTAAAGGCATGTGCTGGTATGAATGCCAATGTTTAAGCAGTGCTTTTTATTCAAATGATATCACTGCCAATTTGATCTACCACTCTGCTCGGAAATGTGAACCTCACACTTCACATCAACAATTACACAGAGGATCTTTCACATCTCATTTCTCAGTGTTGCTTTGCTGTCCAAACCATGGTCTTGGAATAAGAACAATGAAAAACTGTGATCATAATTCACTTATCTCCTTAGTTCTCAGCCTATTTTCCATTAAACTGCTTTATGAGATGGCTTAAAGACTCACAATATGAACTAGATGTCGGTCAGTTTGCAAACAGAAGCCCAGCAATGTCCCTGGACTTTTTCATAAGAACTGCTGAAGCTTGAACTGCAGATCTCAGCCTATCAAAAGAACCAGATTAGTTTTCTTGGCCACAATAAAACCTATTTCTCAAACTCTCATGAGTATATATTTCAAGATCTTCATCCTGGAATATGGGGTTTTTTAAGCACCCTGCACATTAATGGCCTACTGTATGCTGAAACATGGGCCATTGGTCTGCTTCACACAAAACAGAAAGATTCCCTATAAAAATGATGATTTCAATCAAAGATTTCTGCTGGAGTTTACAATTCACTTATCAGTTTTTTAAATATAAAACTGTCCTTGGGTCTCCCAACAACGAAGTTATTATAACAAGCATGTTTATTATATAGTGACATATGTTGGAACACCAACTAAAAGCAGCAAAGACCAGACTTCAAAAGCTCAGTGGTTTGGTACACTTAAACACCAAGATTTGAATGCTTTGCTGACCTTTATCTAAACTACCTTAAAATCTTAGGTCTGCAAAACTGAGCTGGAAGTCTTCGAAGGACAAGCCTTCTTGTAAGATTTTCAGTACTCTAGGTCCTTGCTTTCAGTTAGGCAGGAAACACCACCAGACAGATTCTCTCCTTATTTCACCCGGAACCCGACAGTGCAGAAGCATGCAAAAACTATCAAGAATTAAAAGTTAGCTAGACGTCTTTGAACCTCAGGAGAGGCTGGAATTCAGCTTGGTTCTTACTTAATCTGAACCAATTTGCTCATCTCTAAAACTACAATATTAGTATCATTATTATTGATTGTCCAAAGAACGGTAGTTTGTGATTCAGGTACTAGTCTGGGACTCAGGTGATCTGGGTTTAATTCCTAGTTGTGCTGGAGACTTCTTCCTCTGTGAGTCAGTTTCCCATCTATAAAATAGGGGTGATAAGAGTGTCTCCCTCCCAGCTTTTGTCTGTCTTGTCTATATAGATTGTAAAGTGTTGGGACTGTCTCTTTCTATGTGTATGTACAGCACCTATCACAGTGGGCCCTGATCTTGTCTGAGGCTTCATGATACACCATAATACACCTAGTGATATTACCAAAAAAATGAAATATTTTAGCCATATGGATTTTTCTGATAAATCAAAAATACCAAAAAAAGATTGCACGTATTACTGGAACTCTAATGTGAATCCCTTTATAAACCCAGACATTAGACAGTAAACTCCAGTGTGATAAGAATTATATACCTCACCCTTCCTGAAACACTTGTGTTGTTATGGTTCTCTCTCACGTCTAAGATCAGGGACAGAATTTTTCTAGGCTTTGTAAAAATAAAACCGACAGATTGATTCAACTTCTTAACATTACTTATAACTTCGCATAAGAACTCACATTTGGTTCTAGCTTAAACAAAACAAGTAGCGGCTTTTCTAGAGTCCCTAGACCCTATTTTAGTAAATATTGCTGACTAGTCTTCACAGATAAGTAAATAAGCCCATAAAAAGAATGGCCAGTTTATCACTACAGGATCGTGGGGAGGAAATGGATTGCAGGTCTGGACATTCTGGATGCACTGCAGGTCTGGACACACATTCCTTACTTGGGCAAACTCTCCTTGGAGTAAACAGGAGTTTTGCCTGAGTAAGAATTACAAGACTGCAGTTTCTCAGGGGAGGCAGCCCTATTAATAGGGCTTGTGCTAGGGCATACAGAGAACGCTCCCTGGGAAAGATTTGCTTTACAGTCCCCCCATTACACAAAAGGGCTAGGTGGGAATAGGAAGGAGTGCTGCTTCTGAGAGGCAGGAAAATATGCAGGGACACAGGAACTGTCCTGCCAGAGCATACAAGTGGTCCATCCAGTACAGTATCCGGTCTCCAACAGTGGCCAGTACTGGCTGCTTCAGGGCAAGATGCAAGTATAATGTGCCATAATGGACAACTGCAGAATAATTTACACAAGTTTCTTCCCAGCCCCAGGCAGCTGGTGGTTGGTTTATGCCCTGAACCAGAAGGCCTATATCCCAGTTATTTTTTTATCCTATCTGGTGGGGGATCTGATTACCCATATAAGGAGCTGTTCTTTTGGGGGAGCCTGAGCCAAAGCCCATTCAAGTACATGGGAGTCTTTCCATTGACTTTAGCAGTTTGGATGAAATCCTTGGACCCTACTAAATTCTTAGTGTCTGGGATATCTTGTTGCAGTAAGAACAGGAGTACTTGTGGCACCTTGGAGACTAACACATTTATTTAACAAATACATTTAAAAAATTTGTCAGTCTCGAAGGTGCCACAAATACTCCTCATTCTTTTTGCTGATACAGACTAACACGGCTGCTACTCTGACACTCTGAAACTTGTTGCAATAGGTTCTACAAGTTAATTGTGAGGGGTGGAGAATGTACTTCCTTTTGTTAATTTTTGTCTAGCAAGCTGGGGAGTAAATCTACACTGCCTCAGCATGCCGGGCACTAACTGTCCATATGGACTCGGTTACAGCGGCACACTACAAGTTCCCCTGTTTGAAACAGGGGTAGGCCAATGAGCACTACGGAACTTTTGGTGCATGGTACGCTAGTGCACTGTAGATTAACACCCCAGCTTGTCACTCAACTAACTCCCCATCTAGACAAGCCCTTAGTCTTTCATAGTGCCCATCCTATCACTGGCAAAGTGTAGGGCTCAGGTAGGTAGATATTCACTCAACATCCTCTCTGGGGAAGGCTGATGCAAAGAAATATTTACCCCCTCTGCATTGTTCTTATCCTCCTTAATTGCTCCTTGGTGATCCACCTAACATCTCTGATTTTCTCAGCTTCAGAGAATTTCTTGTTACTCATTTCTCTTTTTTCAGCCTAATTTGCTTCTTACATTCTCCTTTAGCACCCATCACCTTAGCATTGAAGTGCTGAGCACCTGCAGGTAAATTAGACCTGCACAGTCCACTTCTATTCTGTTCTACGGAGATGCTTACACTGCTCCCATCACCATGCTATTGAGAACCTCCCAATAGTGCATCAAGCAGTCTGACCCACACATGCCACTCGTTTGTTCTCCCCGCTTCTAGGAAGTTCTGCCTTTTTCCCTTATGGTGAGCGAACTGTGCTCTCAGGGCTGGATCCAGTGCCCGTTAAAGTCGATGGAATGACTCCCCTTGAATTCAATGGGCATTGGCTCCGATCCTAAAAGCAATTCGATTGGTCTGATCTGCCATGGCAATCCCTGGCTCTGGCAGTGACCTGTACCTGATGCTTCAGAGGAAGATGTAAGAGGCTCTGTAGTGAGCATTTATGGAACAACCTGGCCAGAGGGAACACTGCTCCTAACTCCCATCACTCAGTGTTTGCTTTATGTACTGAAGCATGATGATTTATAGTCCCGCCAATATATATGTGTATATATAGGTATATCCTACTTACTAGAAATGTGGATTTCCTCATTAACCATATAATGATATGATCTTATTTGAATCCTGCTAAGGTCTGGGCAATAAGTTCCCCAGGTTGATTCTGCATTGCGCAGAAGTAACTCTGCATTAACTTGTGTTTTCAAAATTGTTCACAGACGCTGCACGACTGCTGTGCTTTCAAGACAAGATGGAAGCAGCCTAAATATGTCACAACATTCTGCTCAGCAGCTAAGGCCCAGATCTTCAACGGTATTTAGGCACCTAATTCACATTGATTTCAATGGGAGTTAGTGCCTAAAATCCTTGGAGGACCTGAGCCAAAATGAAACTCCACAGGAGGCAAAATGGAGGAAAATCTGAGTCTGAAATTTGGACTGTCACCAAGTGTCATGAAAAAAAAAACAAAAGAAAAAGTTTAAGGGTAGGTAAAATACACCCTTGAGTTCCAGAGGCTCATGTACTAAGCCGTGAGTGATTCTTACGGGAAATATGTTGAGATTCTATTGCATTTTGTGCAGTCTAGTCCCAAGTGATGTAGCTGACTCAGTCGACGAATGTTATCAAAATCTAGTGGCCGCTGGTCCCAAACCTCCTCTCAATGGCTATGACTGTTACACAAATACAGTTGACTTAACACTACTATAATGAATCATTGCTTCTTTTAAACGCCGAACCCTACAGCAAGAATGGAATTCCAAAAGTGGTCCAAAGCATCTGTATTTGGAGGCATCGGATGCACCAGAAATTCAATCCGATCTGAAATGCCATCAAAATTCAGGCCAGTCGCAAATGCCAAACACTTTCATGATAAACAACCTGCAACACCCAAAGCAGAGACAACTCCTCACTTTTTGTGACGTGTTGGTACTCAGGGTTTAGATTTGGAGGGCCAGAGCCTCCACTGGTGCAAACTGGTCTTGCTCTATTCTGAAAAGAATAGTGACACTTCTGTTTATGTCTCTCTTATAAATGGCAATGAGTTGCTAGGAGCAGCAAAATACCATTCAGCTTTTCCCCCAGGTGGTCAACAAACTCATGCTTTTTCAACATATATCAGGCTCCCAAGCTGTCTTACCTGTCACGATAGGGTAGGATTGTGGTCCTGGAACACTAGCTCCTAATTCTGCTGAAGTAGGGCTTGTTAAATTGGCCTTCATATCATCTAATCCGCCAGCTAATGATGCCATGGCTGAGTATTCTGTCGTCTGGAAAAGAAAGCAAGAGATACCTCAGAAATAGTATATCTGATATTCGACAACCTTTTTCTGATACATGCCGTATAACACAATGACGTACAATGCAAAAAACAACAACAACCCTAAGCCTTTTGTTCTATCAGATTAGCCATGTGAAAGGCAAAGAACATTTAAAGTGTGCTGCTAAATCTGTCATTAGTAACCCACACTACGTGTGTCTTATCTTTGTCTCTGCTGCTTTAGTAGAACAAAAAATGTTGTTTTTTTTTACTAAAAGGATCCAAGATTATTATAGTTAAGCAACAAAATCTTTCAGTGTGGCAGCATCTTGTAGACCAAAGTTGGTGACTATGACTGTTGAGAGTAAGTCATTTGCCTGTTACAGTTAAGTAATAGTTCATGGTAACACAATCAAAATGTTCTCATTCCACTAATCACACTTGTAGAGAAAGCCATGCCTGAAGAGAAGATGGAAGCAGAAATGTTTTGCAACCACGTCCCACTGAAGAACACAGTAGTTCCTTCCAGGGCAAATTGTAAGCAATAAAGCATACTTAGGCAAACCTAGTTACTGCAAGCAGGGGCTCACGGACAGCCTTGGCACCACATCTCCCCAAGCATTTCCAATGCCAAATTTATTTTAAAATAAATAAGATCGAGTGTCGCCTGGGAATATTAAAGATCCACCGATCTCATATGGGAAACTTTAAATGTCTGGGGCCAGAGCCTCCGACGGCTCCACCGAAGTAAGATTAACAACGTCCATTGATGCCTTTGAAAGCCAATGGAGCTCTGACAGTTCCCAGCAGCTGGGGATCTGGCCCTGTATTTAGAAAGGATTCTGCGTATGTGGCAGAACATTTATCTGCATTTCCCTCCTCCCGTAATTTTCAGGGCCATTTACACAAAACTAGAATCTGCTTTTTTTGAGTTCATCTTCCCTCAACGCCATGATCCCTTATTTGTGAGATTATAACCCTGTGCAGAGCAATCGGGGGTTATGATTTCAATGAAGAATAAGTAGTAGGAGCAAATAAACTTAAAAATTGGGGTGATTTAGCACTGCCCTACTGCAGTTTAAGCCACTGTAACCGCATTGCAACACTGGAGTGGTGAAACAGGCCTTGTATATTTTCAAGGCACTCTATAAATTCCTTTTAAAATGTTAATAATGTAAGGAGCAATGCAGAAAATATCTTGTGTAAACATGATTGCTCCTAAATACAAGATTTTTTCGAAGTTATCGGCGAGGCATGAGATGGTTTCAGTGCATGGTCTGAGACAGAAAGTTCAGCTTGGGGTTTGGCATAAATATCAGGGTTTGTCTATACTTGTGTCTCTGTAGCACAGTTGTTATTAAAATTAGCAGGAATTCATACCGATAACCCGTAATGGCAGGTTCACGGTAACAGAGGCAAGCTCCTCTTGAAGAGTAGGCTTCAGATGCAAGCGGCACAAGGCGCCAGGGTCACCCGGCATCGTGACGGGCTGCCCCCAGGGAGCACTTGCCGGAGGGCGTGCCACATATTTTTTCCAAGTTTACCACTACTGGTGTCATCATTGTGGTATCTTGCCAGAGAATCAATTGCGTGATACTCTCTGGGTTCAAGATTTTTCAGTTACTAAAGCAGAACCCCACGTGTCCTGTCTCCTTCATTCTTCAGAGTCTTCTGCGCCCCCTTGAGTCTGAAACGCTCCTTGTCTCGACACATCTGTGGGTGCGCCTATCTGCTCACCAACACTTCCTCAACAGCGCTGCGTACGCCACTACTTCCACTCCACGGCATCCATGCCTTCATCTTCTCTAGCCTTGATTATTAAAACCCTATCACATCCCCTAATCCTTCAGAGGGTCCTAAAGACCACTGCCGATCTTCTCATGGTGTTGCCTTGTAAGGATGCACAGTGCCTTTGAAAGCTAATTTGCTGGAGTAATAAGCAGTCTGGGACTGTGTGAGCAGTTTGGCACAGGGAAACTCTGACTTCTTGAAGTCATGTTGTGCTTTAGCATATTCTGAAAAGGAGAAGAGAGCACACAAAATTTCCGCCGAAAAAGTAGCATTTATTTAATACGTGCTGTTACAGTAGAGTACATAGATCTGCCCTGTTCAGTGGTTACAATCCTTCTTTCACTAGAAAGAATTGAAGTTAATTATAATGTTGAGGACAGTTCACTTAAAGGCACAGTACTGCTGCAGCTTAATGCTTACCTATAGAGCTTCGGGTACGTCTGCACTGCAATCACGGGTGTGACTGTAGCAGGTGTAGACATAGTTTTAATCTAGCTAGATCAGGTACCAATAGCAGCATGGGTTTCAGCATGGGATGAACAAGCCCATCCGGGATCCTGGGTATGTATTCGGACAACTAGCCCATGCTGAAGTCTGTGCTGCCATGACATCACTGCTAGCGGTACCCAAGCCAGCTAAAGTTGGTTCTGATAGATCTACTCCTGCTGCAAGCACACCTCTCTGGCTGTGGTGCCGACAAACCCTGTGATGAGTCTAACGAGCACCATTAACACTTTGTAAAAACAGTTATAGTCTGAAGCTGCCTGATGTAAAACGTCAAGCTGTGCCAACATACTGAGCCAAATTCAGACCTCGTATCAATGGATGCACTTCTATTGACCCACTTACAGCGGGTCTAAATTTGGCCAACCCTCAGCAATAATGCTACAGATTTCTATGCTAGCAGCATGGTTGCCACAGCTATTGCCACTGCACTTGCAACTGATACGTTCACTGTCAGCAAAATGCAAGTTTTATGGGCCTGGGAACTGTCTACAAGGCTTATACATTTTACCTTTCTTCTCCTTTCACTTTATTGGACCGACAACCTCTAGTAACTGGTTTTGGAACAAGGAATATCAGGATTAGACCTCACACTAACTATAATTACCCAAAAACATAAGGGCAAACAAGGCTTATCAAACTAGGAGACATCTTCTATACTCCCAGTAATAGAAGCCTTAAACTTTGTACAAGAATTAGTACCAATAACTACAAACTTTTACTGTAGCTAAGAGTTTTTGCACAGAACTCACTGTCTGCCCAAGACTTTCCAAGGCTGTGACTCAAACAGCCTTGGAAAGTCAGCAGGTGCTTCCCCACCCCTTCACTTCATGTCTGTAAAGATGCATCTAGTGCCAATGTTGCTCTTTTCGACCACAGCTTAGAAAGCTTATTGATAACTTCCTAACTGTAGGACAACGGAACAGTAGGACAATGGAACCGACTGCCCTGGGAGGTCATGCAAGCTCCTTCACTGGACGTTTTCCAAAGGAGGCTGGAGCCATCTGTCTTGGATGGTTTAGACCCAACAAATCCTGCATCTTGGCAGGGAGTCTTGATGACTCTTGCGGTCCCTTGTAACCCTATGGGTCTGGGATGCCTATCTTAGCATATAAAATAGGATCTATCCAGGAGTTTTGAGACACCTTCTGCAGGTTGGAACAATTGAAGCTACTACTGGCTTTAAGGAAAAAATGGGTGGAAATTCATCACTAACTCAGCCCAGGATGTCAGAATAAGGAGGAGGCAAAGGTGGCTTTAGGTCACTTATGAGCCTTCCATGTTCTGGGGCTGGCTAGCCTGCCACAGGTTAGAGCAGCCTCAGCATGGTCCAAGCTTGCACCAATCTAGGGCCCCAGGGGCTCTTTCAGCGGCTGGGAGTAGCCAGAAAACAGTGGTGTTCCAGCCATGCCCCCATTCCCAGGGAAATGCTCTTGACACTCACCCTACACCAGGGGCTGCGGGATGATACAGAGCCATGACACCACTGGGGAGCCCCCTACATTGTGGAAATTCCTCTGGAGCTGTGACTGCTAACTTTACAGGCCTGTTGTTATGGCCTGGCCAGCACGAAGGCCCAAACTGAGCCATCCGCCAGCAACACCTACCCATGTTTGTTGGTACTCGAGGCAAGAGGAATATGGATAAAGCCTCAGTCAGATAAAGCATAGTCCTTTATCACATCATCAGTAACACAGCTGCCTGCTGGTCAATGGCTTTTCCACTTATCCCCTCAGAAAGCAATGTGTCCAAACAGAGAGAGAAGAACATTAACTGCTGTATGGGTTTTCCCCAAAACAGCAGCTGCTAGGAGACTCTGGCTACATGGCAGCACTCTTGATGGTGCCCACTACTGTGCTCAGCGTTCCTGCGTTTCGTGGCAGTGCGCTCCATATGCGCATGCCTAGCACGTGCTGGTACCAGGCCAAGACAGCTGTGATGAAATGAACAACGCCCATCTTGTGCCAGGTTTAGACTGGCATTTACCACTGCTCGTACGGCTTTGGAAACAGAAAGTACAATAGTCCTGGAAAAAGCAGTTCACACTGCAGAGCTGTAGGGTATGTTATACAACAACAAGCCAGTTAAACAACTGGAGCCAACATTTGCCTCAATAGAAGCTAAGAACTTGGAGTACAGAGCAGAAAGAGAGCCTCTATTTTATAAACCCAACAAAAGAGTCCAAACTTAAATTCTCCTCATTCCTTGCAGAACCCAGGTGCATTAAGCTCTGGGGCTGATTATAATTATTATTACTTCATACAGCAGCATTGTGGGTCCAGCTCTTCACAAACAAGTAAAAACAGGGGATCCTCTGCCCCGCCAAGCTTAACACACACGTGCATGGCAAAGAGACACACAGAAAGAGCAGGCAGTCCTAATAACACTGATGGTTCCAAGTCAGTCCCTAAAGAAAAGATTAGCTTCTGTGTTCTGCAGTTGGGGCTGGTATTGGAACACTAGAGCCTTCGACGTGCATGTAACCACCACTGAACAAAACAAGGGCTTTGTCATTGACTCACATGGGGTGGGCCTTTTATCATCTTTTCTGCTCCCTCTTCCGCGCACACAGCACATCACTGCCATACATCCCACCATGAAGCCAAAAAAGGCAAAGCTTGCTAAACTAACAACTCTTGGAGGGGCCTTTCCTCTCATCATCAAGAATGAAGATCCTTCCTCCTCCTGAATCTTGTGACTGTATCAGAAATTCAT